CCACCATAGTTCCGATCATCATAGGCACAACTGGCGTCGTCCTGAAAGACCTCAAAGGACATGTCAAGAAGCTGGAGTGTGAAATATCACTGGATATTCTCCAGCGTACAGCAATCTTGGGCACGGCCAGCATCCTTCGCCGTGTCCTTCAGAATTAAGACGAGTATGAGGTCTGGGATGTGGTTCATCCCCCCTCATATCTCCAATACCGGCAGGTGCCGTGGAAGGATTTATTTATATATATGTTCCATATGAGATAGTTTTTGGAAGTAGGAAAAAATCCCAGGACCTGTCGCGCCCCCCAGTTTGAAAACCGCTTTTTGAGGTCATCAGGTGCAAACAACGGAAAGCTAAACACCAAACCCAAGCTCCAATACCAAAAGTTCTAAGCTTCCCACCATCCTAATCGATCGCTGCACATGAGAACCTAAGTTTACGCTAGGTTTACAGTGAGGAGAAACGCAGGCCCAGTAAAATGTACAAGTGGAAGACGAAGAACTGAAGCACTCACGAGTCCACTGGGGACAGCGAAGCCAATCATACAGTGTCAGTGACGAGACGCTACTGAGGAAGTACCACCAGGCAACGAGTCCTACCGTCCAGGAGTCCCTGGAGGGCGTGCGTGAGTCCGCGCCCTCCTCCTCCTCCTATTGGCTCTCCTTCCTATTCGATTCTGCGCGCAATGCCATCACGAGAGGTCTCTTCCAATCGTTTCGCGTTTCGTAGACGGAACTCAAGATCGTTAAACGTACCGTCCTGAGCATCTACCCTTACGGAAATGTCCTAAAGGAAACCTATAGATATTTCTTATAGGAAACCTATAGACTTTCTAATAGGTTTTTGAAACACGAAAAACCTATAGGATCCCTATAGGGTTGCATTGGATTCCTGAACTATAGGGGAACGGTAAATCGGAGCGGATTTTTGGGTATCGAAACCATGGCAATACAACGAGAATTGGCGCAGCATTTGGGCGTAAATTAACGAATAGTTATTTCTCTGGTAGGCGCACTCTCATTTCGGACATAGGTACTGCCTAGGTCTGCATAATTCATTGCCCAGGCTCACATACGTCGCTGGATTGCGCAGATTAGCTCGTCCTATATCTTCGGTGGAGAGAAGTATCATTCTTCTCTCGACCTAAGGAAACGGCAAGACAGAACCTGCGTGTACCGTCCTTTCGCTGAAACTCCTTTTGAATAAAACATCCTTCTCCTCTTATGTGGTTTTGAAAGGCAATATGGGCATATTTCTGGGTTGGACTCCATGATTCTATCTGGAAGATGGGGATGACAAATAAGGAAGTGTTGAAGTTTATTGATTGCTATTATAATGAGGCAAGGCGAGACATTTGGGGATGTACAAAACTCTCTTGTGAGAGATGATTCCATGGGCAAGGGGAGGGCAATTTTGTGCACTTTGATAAATGCGAGAACCCAATACCTCCATCTAGTGGCATAGAGGAGAACTTCAAAAGGAACTCAATAGGCCTATGGGGCCTTTAGGGAACTTTTGTTAAGCCCCTTTAGGGAACAATATAGGTCCTATAGGTTCTAAAGGGAGACCTATAGAGGGAACCCTATAGGTTTTATTGTGAACCCTACGGGTCCTATACGGAACCCTTTGGGTCCTATAAGGAACCTTATAGGCCCCATAGGAATCCCATTCCCATATGTTCCCATATGTTCCCAGGATTCCCATATGTTCCTATAGGATTCCCATATATTCCTATAGGAATATAAAGGAATCCTGTAAGTCATTTTCGTAAGGGTATGCAATGCTTGAAAATGGCCAGATGTATCCTTGTGAGTGCATTGTACCACGAAGACCTTGCGAACTGGAATAGTGAAAGTTCATTTTCATTCTTTCAATAGCCCAGAAAATCTGTAACATCCGCCACAAATTTTGAATCCACGGCAAACTTCGTCATTAGTCGTAAAAGCTGAACTTTTCTCTAGATATTTCCTCATCTTGAAGATGGATCCTTGAACTTCAAAGTCGTCCTCTTTTTCGGCATCCGCACGTCGCCAAATGGCGAGTTTAATCTTGACGGTCTCTCTCATGTTTACTCAACTTGATTCCCCTGGTAAACACTCAAACTCTTTGACCTCACTAAATGCCTGGTGAACATGAACACGACTGGGAAATATTGTTATGCTTCACTAGATTCTTTAATTCGAAAGGTGATTCTAAGGCGTTCACACCTCCTAAATTGGTAAATCTCCATTGCTGACATGAATGCTTTTTTTTTAGTGGGCCTCCTTTCATGAAAGGAATGAGACCACTTATAGTTCCGTCCTGTCCGCCCGTGTGTCCGTTTGTCACACTTTGGTTGTCCGACAATAACTAAGAAAATATTGGTCTGATCAATGTGAAAATTGGTAAGCTGGTAGAAATGAACAATATACAGGTTGAGTTCGTTTTGTGGTGAATTTGAACCAAAATTAGCATGTTTATTGCAAATTTTGGATTTGAAATTTGTCAAGGGAGGGGAAGCCATGAGTACATATGAGCCCTTCAGGTTGTAAATCACAATGCGCATGCGCGTACCACCAAGGCTTTGAGCGCGGCGCCTTGTCAGCAACCAGAGCTGTCAGTTCCCTGCCAACCTTCGTGGCGGATGGATCCAACCACGCACAACCCACCATCCTCCCATAATCGTCTCATGGGCACCGTTTGTCTATTTTTACCATATATATGAATGAGAAATTAGGTTTTTGATGGTCGAAGACAGGGAAGGGATATAATTTTGTCAATCAACTGATTCCCCTCAGTTTTCATTCTGACACGTCAGACTTCCAGCTTGAGGACCACTGGCTGAAAATTCTTAATGCATCGCCGCGCTCCTTCAAAAACAAAAAAGGACCATTATCATAAGAAGAATCGTAAGAAGAAACTGTGGACAAATTCGGAATTCGGATGGAACTACTACTGAAACAAAGATTTCATTGTAAGTGGGAGGGGGTCCGGTGTGACAGGTATATTCATAGTCACCAGGGAAAAGAATCTCCATTGATTTATTTTTCCTCTATACGGAATCTTCTAAAACATAATTTTGCGCAGAGAAAAAACATTTCGGGATGAACCATCCTTCAAATTAAATTGATTCTTAGAGTGCCGCACCCAAAATGTATTATTTATAATGAAATCATAATTCCTATTTAGACGAGAACCGAATTTCAGCTTTCTATCATATCCAGAATTATCCTTATAATCCGTGTGAGCCAGTCACAATCGCCCGTGTAAAACTTTTCCCCTTAGTGAAATGTACCTTAGTGGAATTTTTTTCTGAAGTCACATCCGAACTGCTACAAGTGTTGCTACTTGGTAATTCGTAAGTTGAGAATGGATTGGCCTCCGTGAAGAAAGTCCCTGTTCACTTGGCCCGCTGGCTTAAAGTTTGAGCGCCCTTGCCATAGAGGATTTATCTATATAAATAAAAAGGGCTTTCCTGAATTCAGCGACTTCCAAGTTTCAATGTTCTAACATGTTCAGGACGTGCTTAGGAATAGCATCAGTCAATCACTCTCTCATTCAGTCGCTACTTATTATTTGCGGACATTGTGCATGAAATTTCTACTCATGGCACGAAAATCACAGATTATGGAATGACTTGATGAGATCGGAGGCCTTTTCCCCGATGACGATGCAGGTTCCCATCGGGTGCCCCGTGGTGATCACCGGCATGATGGATGCATCTGCGACCCGTAACCCTCGAACTCCGTACACCCTGCACAGATGATAAGGATTTCATCCCCCTAATTGATTTCACCGTTTCTCTGAATTCTTCCATCTGCAGAAGGATGTGCTTTAATACCTGAGGGTCGGGTCCACCACAGCCTCGGGATCGGTGGGAGGCCCCATTTTGCACGTGCTGACTTCGTGCCAAATGAGAAATGTGGAATGACGGATGTGACATTCCCAGTAATCGTCCGTGAACTGTTTCAGATGCCTGCAACCAGGCAGGGGTTCACTGTAGAATTCGGCGCCGAACTTCTTGAATGATGGTTGCTCTCCCAATAGCAACACTAAGCGAATGGCTATCAAGGACAGGAGAATAATGTCTTTTTTCCAATCACGTGATCAGTGGTCAAGAGGACCGCTGGAAATGTTTGTATACTTGGCGTACCTTCAATTGTTCTCCTGACATCATCTCTATTCTTGAAGAAATTGCCAACAATAATGGGATGGTCGAGGATATTCGTAGTGCGTAGCAAAACTTTCCCTCGACTTCTCGGTCGCATGACATAAGGAATAATCTGAAAACCTGGTTTTAACAGCAATCCCCTGTACGTATTCCACACCTGGAGAGAAATGTGAAGAAAATGGGAGAATGTGCAGGATAAGTCATTCTATCACGTGTGTCCCGAATTTCAGAAAATTTGTGAGATAATGTGGATTTTGTAATATTAATAAACTGACTAAGAAATATACCTTAATGACTGGAAAAACATTATCGAATTTTTTTTCTAATGGCATTCTCATTGCATTTCTCATCATGTACGAGGTCGTTCGACAGTATTCTGACTTGGCTTCTGTGCTGAATTCTCAGAATAAGTTTCCCGTTACCTCATAACCTATTCAAGTCTGTTTCATTTTTTCCTTCCCAGAGACTTAAAAGAGAGATCATTTCCTTCGGTACATCACCTTCTTAATTAGCAATTAAAGTAGCTCGCCCACTTTGAGCTGAATGATTCTGTCTTATTAACCCTATTGGAACACAAATAAACAGAGTATTTCTTGTCCAAGCGGAATCATCATGGTCCAATTGCTTCAAAGTGAAATTTCAAAATGTCCTTCATGAAGATACTTCATCCATTACATATTATTTCATCATTCAATAAAAGTACAGGGGTTATTCCCAACTATAGCTACAACTTTTATCAGATGAATTGAGTAAACTGATATACGCAGTATATTGATCATTAATGGGGTTAAAATAACCTCAAGCGGAATTCAAAGTTGCACAGGAACCAAATATGGTGCCCGATCCTCTTACCCGGCGATGTTGCTTACCCTTTTCGACTTTGCACGAAGGAATAGGTATGGGACTCGTAAGGTAGTCTAGCTATGGATTTATTCATTTCCATGCTGTCGATTCCACTATTCAAATTCGCCTTGATCGAAATGTCGTAACTTGACAACCATAAATTTAAAGTAAAATTAGTGATTCCATGAAATGATTAATAATGATTCTTCTCTGCGCGTCAAATCGTACCAACCATTCTTTTTGAGTAAAATTGGACACTCACCAAAATCTAGATACTGCAGTACTGAAGCCCAAAGATAAAAATGTCTAAGAACTCGATTTTCGAGTTCTTAGACATATTTACCAGTAAAAAATGACAGAGAAGCTAGCATGATCTCGTCAAGAGCTTGAGAAAGAGAAGTAAAATGCTGACGTGGTTTAGATTATTTCTGAGAAATCGATGAATTGGTCACTAGGCATTCATGTCGAAACATTAGCAAATAGCGGCACATAAACTTTGAGCCGCTATTTCCGAGGAACTGCTGCATGAATCTGCATTTTTTTAATGCCATGATTTTTTCGTGCTTCAGGTCAAATTTTCCAGACGAATTTAAAGCATATCTCCCAGAGAAGCCACCCAGACATTCGAGGACCCAGAGACATCATTTGAATAATATATGAACTCGTTGAAGGACAGACCTCTTCTTTCAGCCGGAAACTGTGCCGATGCAGAAGTCCTCCGTCTGTGCCGACCGTGAGAGAGGCCATGAAAAGCTCCACGTCCGGCCAAGCCGGGTCCCGGGCGAAGGACGTATTGACGAAGGCCAGACCCTCGAAGCCCGAGGCGGCCGAGATCAGTCCTGAAACAAAGTAAGATTGGATGCGTGGAAGGTTTTAAATGTCGGTTAAGTACTTTCTGAGGTGTAGCGACTCGAAAGTGAACTGATTTCTCACGGTCATTTCTCGAGCACCGATCAGTTTCGTGCTGAGTAACTCAGAGAGCTGAAATTTGTGCCATTTTAAGACCTTATGATCTTTGAAGTTCGCATCAGTTCATATAAGGGCAATGGAGAAAGAGCATCAAGTTTCAGAGGAAATCGGGGTTATAGGATATAATGAAGAAATAAGCAAATGGGTGCGTTTGTTACTTCTTACGCCCCTTAACGTTCGAGACTGTCCACGACAATCAGATTTCAATATGCAACTGAAGACACCCTGTACAAACTGTTGACTAAGCAACTTTGAACAGATTTAGTTGCGAGGGAAAAAGAGGCTAGAAATTTTTCGTCGTCGAACGATGGATATGAAGCTCTTGCATGACATTGTACAGCAAACTCCACCTTGCACAAATACATGTATGGGGAAATTAACATTACCGTCGCCCTTCGAGACGTATTGAAGGACGCTGGGAAGAAGTCCAGTCGTCAATAGGTGCGGAATATACATCCCAGCTTCCTTCTCGATGCTGAAGTAGAGTCCTCCAGAACCCGCATGGCTTTGCATGTTTTCTCCCACTGGAAGATTCAGCAGGGGACGAATCTGGCTTGAAGAGGATGGGATGGGACCGTACAATGCTCAGAATCATTGAACAATACATCGATATACCGTGCTACAAAATCACTATAGTCGCGCCTTCGGCGCTCCATTACCTTCGAGAATGATTAATTCATTTATTTTTTGCGAAATGGTAAACAGGTGTTTAAGGTACGTCCTCATTGAAATACATGACATATGGGGACGAAAGTCTTCATTTTTATCAATACCATTACTTCTATGATTTCTAGTGTGCCTAACTCGAAATCTTTTCTTGTATCCCTTTTCGTACGGGTGGAGAATACATTTTAAAATACTTCCCTCCTATAATTTACGCTGAGACATATTCCTAAAGTAGGATTCTTCTGTACTCAGCCATCAAATAGTACTTCTGAAGGAAGTTTAATTTATCTGCCTCTGTTTCGTTGGATAAAAAAAAACATCAGGAAAATGGCACAGAAAAAAGTGCCCTGATGGGTTTTAACGAAACTTTTTTTCATTTGAAATGTAGGCTCAGGGAACTCCATGCCACCCAGTTTCAGCCGTATGCGTTTCCCCTTTTTGCTGGCGGCAAACTTTTATTTGGAAAAGCGACCCACCCAAGAGCTGTGCTCTGGGGAGACGCACAAGAAAAGTTGAAATTTTCCTTAAATCAACATCACGTCCGTAAAGGGTGCGCCAGCTAATATTCTATTCCTGCTCGATTCAGTAGGATATGGAAAATTATTTGAAAACGTTACGTCCCCAAGAAATATGAACTCCAAAATATTTTTTAAATTTGATGTTTGACATTTGAGCTCAGTGCATCAACGGTCACGCTCTTGCCAAGTTTCAGCTTTCCATGTGTCTCCGTATTAATGAAGTAAAGAAAACTATTTGAAAAATTGTTCCCCGAAAATGTGTGCCCCTATAGCATGTATCACCAAAGTCGAATTTTTTTCTGAGCTCAGCATGCGAACAGCTACTTATGTCAGTCAGCTACTCACGATCATCTATATATAATAAAAGTAGAATTTTTCCTTTACTCAGCTATCTTTTAGGCACATCTTTGCCCAGTTTAAACTTTCTTGCGCTCTCTGTTTTTCTGGATCAGAAAATTTGGGAAAATACGCCTTTTGCAAAAATTTGTGCCCCGAGCCGTTTTAACCGAAAAGTAACATTTTATTTTTTCCGAAATCTATCCTTAGTGAACTACATTCCCACAACGTTTCAATATTATACGTTTGCCCTTTTCACTGGTGAAAAACATATTTGGGAAATCCGACCCACCCAAACACTATGCCCGGAGAGGATGCACCATGAAAGCTGAATACTCCCTCAGATCAGTTACATCATGTCACATTCGTGTGCCAAGTTTCACCTTTCCATTTCTGTCCAATTCGCCACGGAAACTTTTTTTTTCCCAAAACATTCAACCTCGAAAAAATTCCCTAGGGGATGTATCGAGACTCAACATTTTTATTTAACTCCTTCTCTGAGTAGTCACATTCATGCAATGTTTCCGCTTTCCATGTTCATCAGTTTAACTGATGCAAAAATAATTAGTTGAAAACATCATCCTTTGAAATTTGTGTCCCCAGGGGATTTACTTCCAAAGTCTGCATTTTTCTGCAGCATCCCAATAGGTTGTTACGTACTAAGTTTCATCTTTCCACACTAGCTCAATGGGCCAGGACAAAAAAAATACGTGAAAACGTCGGCCCCAAAAAATATCCCCCAAGCATGGATCTAAAATTTTGCATTTTTCCTGAACTCATCGTCTCGGTAGGCACCTCCACGCCAGGTTTCAGCTTTCCATGTCTCTCCGTTTTACTCAAGCAAAAATAAAGGTATGGAGGGGGAATGAGTAACGGGACATGGAAGGCAAAAAAAGCCAAAGGTATGCCAAGGAATGGCCGGGAATTGAACATGGGACTCCTGATTGCCAGTCAGACATGCTACTTCTGCACCACCGAACCCAGGACCTCTAATTTATGCTCTGAATGCCATCCTCCTATGTCACAAAATATATTTAAGAGAAACGCTTCCCCCCAAAATTTGTACCCCCAGAGCATGTACCTCCAAAGTCGGATTTTTTTTAAAACTATGCATACCAAAAGGTACATGTGTACCAAGTTTCAAATTTCTAACATTTTCAGAACATGGTTAGAATTAGCGTCAGTCAGTCAGTCAGTCACGATCGTCTATATATATTAGATGATGATGCCTTGGTGATTGACACTCGCTAGACCAAAGAGACTTATCATAAGTTGTCGCGAGCAGTCCTTTTGTTCGCCATGGCCTACTTTTAACTATTTCAAGTTTTAAGTGAAAGTGAGGCGGTATCCGAAAATGAAAGGATTTTTTAGGATAAGAAACCTTACTGACCCTTACTAACCCTTACTGACAGCTGGACAACATTGCATTCCTGTGTTTAACGGAAGCGTAAAGGTGTTTATATTTGACTTCTGCCCCCGTCACCTTGAATATTTCACTTTTAAAAGCATGAAACAGTTTTGTGGTGGACCATTACCAGTGGAAGATATGTGTGCAAGCAATACTTATGGTTTTGGTCTTAAAAGAAGTTGAGACTCACCCCATGTCTTTGCAATTCGGCTTTGGGTCCGATGCCAGAGAGCATGAGGATCTGAGGAGACGCGAAGGCCCCAGCCGACAGGATCACCTCCCTCCTCGCCGATACGAAGCGCGTGGAACCTCCTTCAGTCAGGTACTCGACCCCCTTCGCCGTCATCGTCGTCTCGTCTATCACGATCTGGTAGGAAGGAAGAACATATAGAAACTTCGTGCGATTCCAGATGGATAATCAACATGCTAAAAGGCAATAGCCACTGTTGAAAACCAGCTCAAGGTGGAAGATTGATCTGGGTGAAAGCGGAACCCAGAACCTGTTTTAACGAATGCCAATTGTCGTAACGCCATAGCCACAGGTAATGACAGCATCGGATTCAAGGAAAAATCATAGTGATTGATTTAACTGCCAGTTCACGAGCTATCTCACCCAAGGTTGACCGACTTTCAAGGAAAGAGCAATTGCGCCTTTGCGAATTTCTAATAATTGTGCTCATGCGAAGATTATACTTCCAAATCATTCAAGAATGATTCCTCATTTACAACCCCCTGCATTTTCTCAAGTACACCATGTAGCAGATCAGTAGCCATTCACAAAGAACGACAATGACGGATATTTCGTAGTCTACAAACAGACAAATACGAAAGAAGACCTTAAGCGATTTTTTGGGTTATGGGACTCATTCACGAAAGAGGAATGCTTAGAGAAAGTCAGAGGCCAAGATGTTCTTGGATGAACGCCACTTACTTTAGAGACAACGGTATTGAGGACGACGTGGAGGTTCCTGCGATGCCTCACAGGCGTCAGATACGCCTTGGCCGTGCTGTGCCGGATTCCTCGCTCTGTCGCTATTTGCGCTTTGCTGAAGCCTGTTCGGTGGTACAGTTTTGGAAGGAAACTTTCGTCCTAGTTTAGGCTGTCGAGAGTTTTCGTGGACGAGGCTCACCGTTCTGAGAGGCGCCGTTGTAGTCGTGATTGTATGGGAAACCCAGGCTCATCCCAGCTTGGATGAATGCCGGCAGGAGCTCAGTGTGGTATGGGTGGGATACAGGGAAGTAACCACGATATCCTTCGGTCCCGTGGTACGCCGCATCTCCTGAAATGAATGAGCATTGAATGTATAAATGAAACCCAGTGAAGGCTGTGGGTATACAGAACGATAAAATATGCAGAAAACCTCAACAACTTCTGCCGATCGCGCTCCGTATACATACTACGTAGAAGGAATTCACTAAATCAGCCAAATTGCGTTCCATGGATTCGTTTACGGATTACGAATTGTAGCGGGACTTGAAATCTGACTCATCTCGAATTCTATAAAATGAGAGTATATCGGCTAGATGTGAATGCGGCCATTCAAAGGAAGAACAAAAAGGCTCAACAAATATTACCAGCCAACAATGTGAATAGTTTCTACCGGTAGTGAGTGCAGATGGATCAAGACAATCTTAGTTCTCTCATCTAATACTTAATTTTACAGTTTATTTCAGCTTTTGATGACAACGGGCGCGAATGCCGTTAGCTACCTCGAGGATCCAGATGGGATCCCTCAAAACTCCAACAAGATTATCTCCCGTTTACTTCATGATTTGAGAAGGTGAGCTGGCAGCATCACGATTCACTATATCAAAGCGAGTCGTTTGAGAAGATAAACCCAGTATTATCGAATTGGGTCTAATCATTCCTTGGAAACAACCACCATGCAAGCTGCGTCTGCCTCTTACGTGTTTCCATTATTAAATGAATTTTAAGGTAATTTTACGGGCCGATAATCAATTCATTTCATGTCGACAACTGACCTCCAACATAGACAGGTTTGTGACAAATTGCTTGACTCAAAGATCATCTGCATTCTTACCGGGAGAGACATCTTTCACGAGGAAATTCTCAGCCCTGATGAAAAGGGGGAGGAGGTCGTTGAAGGACCAGCCGGGATTCCCCAAGGCGGCCCAGTTGTCGTAGTCCTTGCGGTTCCCTCGGGTGTATATGGCGGCATTCAAGCAGGAACTTCCTCCCAGCATCCGACCACGGTGCATGCGGCATCGCTGAAAACACCGGAAATCAATTTGGGAAAAAAAATGATGGTTTGATATATGATTGCATGATTAGAACCAAATTGATTTCGTCACTTGAATCGTGGTACTTGCAGAATTGTAGGAGAAGGGGGGGGAAGAGAAACTAGTCGGAATTCTTGCCGAGACCAGGAATGCTCAACATATTTTTGCATTGTATTATGTTGGTTGTCTTTCCACGCTTGGCGGAATGTGCGAGCTGCGCAATAATAATGAAGTTTTTATTACGAGGAAAATGCGCACATTTAAATGCTGTGCGAAGGGAAACTGAAGACTTCGTGTGACTCTTACGGAGGCAATTGAAACTGTACTCGTCATCGTGCGCTCTGAAATGGGCCCAAGTTTCTGTTCCTTCTCCTTGCGAAAGGCCCAACATTCATATCAACATATCGATTCTGTTCGTCATTCAGGAAAAATATGAAGATCTCGAGAAACCGCATCCGAATTCGCCAAGTCGAACTGGAATACCAGTTCGACTTGGCAACCCAACCCGCGACCATAGGGGACAATTGGTAACATTCCCCACCAAAGACAACCAAAACACGTGACACCTGTACACAGTGGACAACAGAAGAAAGCTGCCGCGTTTTCTTTGAAATATTTCTCGAACAAATAATGGTTTGTCCACATCATAATGCGTAATGGCGAACTAGTCATTGATTGAACGAATGCATAGATAATCCAAAAATTAAAGCATCATAGACTTATGGACTTTGCAATCCTTCACCTCTTTATTTAGCTAAAAATTTTCCTGCAGTGTTTTCTCGCCATATGCGCCGGGTGTTTTTAAATTCGCTTTTTATAGCACTTTCACCCTTCCATGTGTCATTAAGAATAAATAAAGGCAATCAGACAAAAAGGTATGCCATTTGAAGGGCTAAAAGATAAAGTGACCTATTTCTTCCCGAGTTGCGCATGGATAGTGAGAAACATTCTGGCGACCGCCTTTTTAAAAGTGAGGGAATTTGGCACGCATGAATAGACCAGTTTTTCTTTATATGACTCCCAGACCTACAAGGAATAAAGGGTCCACGTGCACCAAGCCAAATAATCGATTCTGGTTATGCCTTGCAGTTCGATCACTACTTCATTTTTTATTTTAGAGGAACAATAGTATTTTTTGCATTACGATTCCCATCAGATGGATGGATGGATATATGAAGTTGGAAAGACAACAATGCAGCTCAATAAACTTCGGTATCTGAAAGGGAAAAAAAATTTCCATTTCTTCAATTTCAATTTGATTTGATTTGGCAAATTTCCATGTACTAGACGTACATGGAAATTTGAATCGTCTCTTGTGAGCATAAAGTCTTCTTGAGAATCCTCTATTCATTGCATTACCCATTCAGAACTGAACCCCTAAATTACATTTATACACATATGGCTTACAGTACATAGGGAGATTATGGATTCTGAACCAGTAAGAACCGTTTCGAAGAACTTGTTGGACGACACAGAGGGATGTTAGTGCATGTGCGGCACAATGCTAAAGACTAATTCCTGAAAATGCAAAACCTTGCATCAAGTTGCTCAGCTGTCTGCACGGCTCTCCTATTCCGGAGCTCAGCATTCGCTGCCTCTTGCTGTTCAGCGGTCTGAGCGGCCCGAAGCTCCCTACGTACATGTGCTTGCTGTTTATCACCGATTCTAGCCATTACGGCTAGCACCGATTTAGGCACTTCGTACCGCAACTGCCGTGGCAAACTTTTTTTTCCGCGGCAGCACCAACCTTTTTTACTAGCAACAACTGCCTCATCGCCGTCCTGTGGGAATTCCTCCAATATTTCTTCTTCGCGTTCAATCTCACATCGCAAAAATCGCCACCATTTTGATGGGAGGTGCAACCTCGTTGGCGCGACATATGAAGAGAGACTTTTTTGCCTCTTATTTTGACTTCATCAATCATGAGAACTCAAATAAATTCGCCATGAAACGCAAATAGAACACTATTGCATGGAAGCGATGGCGCGAACCGCCACGTTTGACCTAACGGAAAAAATAATAAATACAGAAAATATACTTCAGCAAAGAATGTATTCAAATGAAGAACTTGCAGTCGATCAATGAAAAATTGACACGCATTCGGTTCGTAGCACCCTTTGCTTGACACATGTAAGTATTAAGCCTATGGAAATAATAGGATGAGCCAAAGCCTATGGCTCAGACTGATATTGCCCCATGGACCTGGCGCTTTCAGCGGTGGGTGGTCTAGCCCAAGGCCAAGGATGGCATAGCCTAATGGACCTGGCGCTTTGAGTGGTGGACGACATAGCCTATGGCCATCATTTTAATGATCTGGTCTCGTTGGCCTCGCTTGTTGCGGTGACAGCCACCACCGCAACTTCTTCCCAGCACATTCAGTACTCTTAGCATCACCGATTAGCTCATGGGTTATTAGCATTAGCGTATGGGACAGGTAGCACTGATTCTGAAACAGTACGGGTCATTTCCAAGAACTTGTTCGACATTAGCACAATGGGAATTTAGCGCATGTGCAGCAGAATACTAACGAATAATTCCTGAAAATGTCTCGCATCCACATAAGCACCAGTGAACAACAGTGTGAGCGTTAAGTGTGAGTTGTAGCAGGAGCACTTTTCCGTTGTGGCCGCAATGTGAAACAAATGTCCCTTCCCTACAGCAAAATATACAGCCTGACAGTGCGCGCTGCACAAACGACTGTAGTGATTTCAGATGACATGGAGAGGTCTGACAAAATGTCCCGAGTTCCGTGGTGTAATGGTAGCACACTTGACTGGCAAGCAAGAGGTCCGGGTTCAATTCCCGGCTGCCCACCGGCTTTCAAAACCTGATTGCTACGTTTCTTGAATCAAGTTGCCCACCATGCTGCATGGCTCTCCTATTCCTGAGCTCAGCATTCGCTTCCTTTTGCTGTTCAGCCTTACGCTCCCAACGTGTAACAGGGAATGGTTCATCATTCATTCTAGCCATTATGGCTAGCACCTCCTAAAGCACCGATTTAGGGAATTCGCACCGCAATTGCTGTGGCAAACGTAGTTTCCGTACCAGCATCAATCGTTTTTTTTTCATCTGTAGCGACTGCCTCATCGCCCTTCTTTGGGACCTCTTTCAATATTTTGTTTTTCATTTTCAACCACAGATCGCAAAAATCGCCACCATTTTGATGGGAAGAGCGGCCCGTTTGCGCGACGTATGAAAAGGAGAACCTAAGTTATGATTTTGATGTCATCAATCGTGAGAACTCAAATAAATCGGCCATGACATGAAACGCAAACAGAAAACTATTGCATGGAAACGATGTTCCGAACTGCCACGCCTAACCTAACGGAAAAAAGTGACTCGTCTTCACCCTGACCTGTTTTTACACTGCCAGTGCTCTTGTATGTTCTTAATGCACCTTCCAAACGGGACAGAACGTCTTCGTTCACCAAACGGGAATGCTCATTTTTCGGGCACAAAATTGCGCGCCGGCTCAGCATTTCCGCGTCGCGTACGCCATGCTCTCGACCGAATACCTCATTCACCAAATTGTTTGTTAGGCAAAGATCAGGGAGACGCACAGTGATTTCTGATGCTCGGCCGGTAGCCCTGGGAAGTGTGTCATTTCCGAGCTCAGGCAACCAATGTGCAAACTCAACCTCATCGGCGTTTGCTGGCATATTTGTGGTTAAATAAAAAGTGCGTAAATGTTCCCAAAGCGGGCTCATATTTAGGCATTTAGCAAGAATCTGGCCCCGCGAAGCCTTTCGGGACAATTGGAAGAAGCTGACGAAAATCGCCACCTGACGCCATCACTTTGCCACCAGATGCAAAATTCTGTTCTGTACCTGATCACTTTACAAATGGTGTACCAATCTTAAATTTGATATTGGCAGAAATAGCACGTATTTCCACTGAAGTATTACATACTGGAACTCGTGGGCATGTGCAGGTGTCGGTCATTGAAGTCGGTCAAACTGTTGGAATAAGTTAAATTTTGGTGCTACTGCTGCAGTAAAATCTTCATATCTTATCAAGCTATTAAGTGCCAATCTCGAATTTGGTGTCGTTAGAAGTGGCATACCATGCACTTTCCTAGCACATAGGATAGCATCGGTGGCGGCCTCTATCGGCATACAGCGCCATCTTGCGGATGAACAAAATTCTCTCCGACTCATGGACTTCTCTGTCATGTATCAGCTGCATCCAACTGTCCCTCGACAAGTTATAGCCGATCAAAATTAGTGACGCAATAACCGAGTAATCAGGAATTTGGCATCTGGGAGTTGGGGGTAATTTTGTGACCCCAACCCCCAGCTTTTACTTTGATGGGGGGGACCTTATCAAATGAAAACTCGCTTTTCTTGGCCTCAGTGCCAAGTAAAGACATGTGTTTTTTATTTTTTTGTTTGTTTTTTGGCCAGCGGGCTATTCTAAAAAAAATCCGACCGTTCGCTAAATTTAATTGAATTCTGAGACTGTGGAGCACGGATCATTACCTCATTTAAGGTCATGATTCACTTCTAAGAACCTTTAATTCACCTCTAAACAGGCATTGCAATTCTCAGGCAGGGGTGCTGGAAAAAGGCTGACATGCAACACGTTGCAACACGTTGGACGGTTGCAACATGTTGCAACCGACCAACGTCGATCGCGAAGTCAATTAATTTTTTTTTGCTTTCATGAAACTGTTTCTCCCATAGAGAACGGTAGAGCGTTTATTTTGAATCACCCTACATACATATGACATTGTCACATCACTTAATGTAAATTCAATTAATGTCAAATCTTTAAAGGGACATGGATTTTTACAGGGTACCATTGGAGAATTTTACGAAAATTCGTGTGGGGGGTTCTTTTAGCTAGTGAAAGAAAACTGTCAAATTCTCAAATTCGAACTATTTCTGATTATTTGTTCCAAAGTTATGCCCATACGAAATTTCAAAGGCGGAACTTTACCACCCGTTGGAAATATAAGCATAAAAGGTAAAGTTATGCTC